GGACAACAATAACCAAAACTTTGGAGGCAGTGGTCCAAAAAAATATATATAAATAAATAAATAAATAAATAAATAAATAAATGAATAAATAAATAAATAAATAAATAAATAAATAAATAAATAAATAAATAAATAAATAATTAAATAAATAAATAAATGTTCTAATCGGTAGGATATTGTTGAGGACAGAAAATAAAGATTGCATAGACCCAAAAATCTAGCTTGTGCAAGCAAGCAATAACTTGTTTTCAACATCTTTATTCTAGAGTATTAATAGGTACCACTCATCTATTCTCTGGATTAAGTTTGAATTTGTTCACCATCTTAAGTTTGTTGTACATATTAACTATAGAACATTAACGTACATATGAAGAGAACCACTAGCTTAGGTTTACAGTGGTTGAATGGACGACAAAATACATTGTTATGATTCTGCGCTTTTTGGTTCTGTTTAAGTTTTCTTTTTAAGTTTTCATTTACACTTTGATTCATGATTTTCTTCTTTTTTTTTAGTCTTTTATTTTTATTTCCATTTTGTGTTGTTTTCTGGTTGTATTTGAGTTCTTATGTATTTCTTGTTAACCCTCTGTTGCCCCCTTGTGTCAGTCTCCTTCCCCTAGCTCCCTTCTAGATTCTTCTGTCCACACCTGCTCCCAATCAGTCGATTACCCCAGTCTGTGTTGTGTTTGGTACAGTATATATACTCCTCCTCTTCAGTTACTGTTTGCTGGTTCCTTGTCATCTTCTTGCTCCTACTGTGTTTTCCCTGATTTCTCCTGGATTGTGGTTTTCTGTATTTTGTTTGTGGACCTTTACTTCGGTTGCCACATTTTGCTTATTAAATGTCCAAGAAACCACCTCAGCTTCCGTCTCTGCATTTGGGTCCTCTAAAAACTTCCACACAACCTGATATGGATAAAAAGGATGGCTCAAAGTAATAGTTTATCTTTTCTGAATGTGATTTAGGGGATTTTATCTATCAATCCATTTTCTGTCACACTTACACATACAAAGCGGGGTCGCGAGGGGTGCTGGTGCCTATCTCCAGTTGTCTATGGGTGAGTGGCGGGGTACACCCTGAACAGGTCTCCAGTCCATCGCAGGGCAACACAGAGACAAACAACCATTCACACACACTCACACCTATGGACAATTTTAGAGAAACCAATTAACCTAACATGTCATGTTTTTGGACAGTAGGAGTTTAGGGGATTCCACAAAACTGATATAAAAGTATCAAAAAACTTAAATTGTGCTGAATCAGTGAAACTTATTTTGCATTAATGTGTTAAATCAATATTTATCTTTATATTCATAGGTCAGGCATAAACAGTTGGTCATGTCTGATGATTCATATATTCTTTTATATAACATTGATAGGAGAACTTTGGGGATTGTAAGGGAGAAGAATGTGTGATGGGATGGAGGTAAGGCAGGAGGAGTCAGTGGCAAGTGTCTGGAAAAACTGTAGTCCAGTCATTCATGTTAATTTCTATTTGACATGTATCACTCCAAAAAATGAACATGGATGGCTAAGAACTCTTTCAGTAGGATCTAAATTACATGCAATTCCATTGAGAATAATTCTTGATGTTCTAATGTTTAATAATTCGGAATTGATTAAAATTCCTCCCTAAGAAATATAATTCTTAAAGTGTCACACAATATGATGCCACCATACTTCTGAAGAAGCCAGAAGATTATCTGAACAAGATTTCTGCTATTAATTAAACTTATTAAATGTAGCCAAAAGCTTAATTTATTTTTAATGACTTTCTGGTCTGTCTCCTACTGATTTATTGGTATTTAAAAAAACTCAAATAATAAAGTGATCTACAAGGGAAAAAAAGAAAAAAAAATTCACAGTGCAATGTACACCGATTAAAGGTTTAACTTTACATTAGAGATGCAGGTGTTTTATTGTATAGAATTCGGAGGTTCAATATATATATATATATATATATATATATAATATATATATATATA